AAAAAAAAAAAAAACAGAGGATGCATACAGAACACAGGCACTTTTGAAATTCCAGTTTGCAGAGTATCCTCCTGTACAGACAGCCATGGGCATTTTCTTCCTCTCTCTCATTTCTTGTCCTGAGGCACAGCATACCTTTCATCTTTCACATGATATAGCAAGACCCTCATTCAAACATTCTCTCTAGACTTAGCACTTTATAAATAAAATTCCTACAGAAAGTTAAGGCACAATAGTTTATAGTTATTTCTTTCTTTTTGAGGGGTGAGTGGCTATTGGGAATGGAACTCAGGACCTTGAGCAGGCATCACTGAGTGATTTAGCATCACTGAGCTAAATCACTAGCCCCAACTTCTAGCTATCTATAAAGGTTATTTTGACATCTACTTGTAGTCAAATTTAAGATTGTAGGACTGGGAATACAGATAGCTCAGGGGTGCAACATTTGCCTAGCTGCACAAGACCCAGGCTTCCATCTCCAGCTCTGCAAAAACATAACAAAACAACAAAATTGAAGATTCTAAAGCACATGGTACAAATTTCAATCCTAAGGGTAAAGGAGTAGTCTTGTTCACTGTGTTGCTCAAAGAGACAGCCAAGAGTTCAGGGCTCCACCCTCAGGCCCAGCAGCCACAGTTTCCATGCAGAGCTGAGGGGCATGGAGGGGCTAGAAAGGCAATGCATGTTGCTGACGGATGAGCTCTACAGCCCACGTCAACATCACCACCTTTAGAACGTGAGAGGAGACAATGAGGGTAAGACAAAGCAAGCTGCATCTCCTTCCCTTTACGACCTGAGCTTCAGATCTCCTGGTCTGACTGGATTTAGGACTCTCTGCTACACTCACACAAGCAGCCAGTTACAACAACAGGTTACAGGTTTATTTTAGGAAGCCGAGGTCACAGGTTGCCAGTGACCCACCACTGCTCACATTATTTTCCCTACTAAAGACAGGATACATAGACATTTCATCATTCATAGCAAATCTATCACCTCCACAGAAAAAAATGATATATCCTATTAATAGCTATATATATATATATATTATATATACATATATATACATACACACACACCATGTATCAATTAAAAATTAAAAGAACATACATATGTATTTGGTACAAGGTCTTACTACAGAGCTCAGACTGGTAGTGATTGTCTTGTTTTCAGCCTCCCCAGCCCTGGGAGTACAGTTGTGTGCCACAGCGTGCCCAGGAGTAGGGCCAGCGCAGCATGCAGTACTGGGTAAAATATATTTTAAACATTTTTAAAACTTAAAGGCTGCCAAAGTCACTCCTCTCCTGCCACAGGGACCCTGTCGGCGTTCGCCCCCTCTGTGCTTTTGGAAGCTCCCGAGGTTCCTCCCATCTGTCTCTCAGCAAAGGGAAGCATATGGCCCATCAGGTCACTCCTACCTACATAGCTCCAGGATTTCATGTTGTTTTTATACACAATTATTTCAGGATGAAGCTGGTTTTACTGCCAGGTTCTTTTTTAAACATGTTTTAACTTCCATATGAACAAACTGTCCAATCTAAGTTTTTCATAAAATTAAACTTTTATTAAGGTCAAATTTGTCTCTTGCAATGATGTGATGAGTTGCCAAATAATTGAGCTTGTTTTAAAATGTTTTGTTCATATTCGTGTTTTATAATTAAAATATACATTCAGTGTATGTGTTTTTTTTTCTTCTTTGTTGTTTCAATGTAAGCTGGCTATTTCTGTCATTTTACATGGTTTCTTACTGAGATTTTATATGTAAATTATAAAATATTTCCCTAAAACAATAAATAAATAAAACTTAAGGGCTGGGGAGATAGCTTGATGGTCTAAGTGTCCATTTGGCAAGCGCAACGACCCAGGTTCTATCCCTGGTACTGCATGCTAGGCTAGCCCCGGAACCCCAGGCATACTGTGCTGGCCACCGAAACTGACACAAACCTGTAATCCCAGCGCTGGGGTAGCTGAGACAGGAGTATCACTATGAGTCTGAACTGCGTAGAGACCCCATACCAAATAAATAAATAAAAGATTAAAACAATTTTTAAAAAATTTAAAATAGGACAGATACATTCGCTTATATACAAGAATTTTAATATATAGTTAATGATTTACAATAATTTAGTTGAAAGAGAAAAGCTTGAAGCAGTTATCCAAAATCTTCCCAACTATAAATGAGTTTCTAACTTTTGTAATCTGTAGTACATATACTTATGTTTTCTTGTTGCTTTCTTGGGCTCTTATCAGAAATTAACAAATATGTTTTTAGCCAGTGTGGTGGTGCACACATGTAATCCCAGTACTTAGGCTGAGGCAGGAGGATTGCTGTGAGTTTGGGCTACACAGCAATGTCTTTCTCACAAAAGACAGAAGTAACTCCAAAACATGGGGGGGGGAAAAAGAATCAAGATCTATCATGCATAGGTATACACTCTCTGTGATAATTATGTATATCTACAATGTACCAATAAGATCTGATTGAAAAGAAAAAGCAGCACCAAACATTGTTTTAAATATATATTTACATACTTCTTTAACAGAGAAGCCCATGGACAACGCAGCCACATCTGGGATTCGCTCTCCTGGTATAGGCCAATTTCCATTTCGGAAGACAACAGACCCTGGTGATCTTAATATACTAAACTCATTCCCCAAAACACCTGAGAAGAAAACAGACTATTAGTAAATGAATTACCAGCTTCTTTTGTACTCACCCTGAAGATTATGAAATATAATACATGTTTCTCCATTCTCTACTGCCTTCACATACTAAATTATGATTGGACAAGATGCTGAATGCTAAACATCAGATTGGGGGTCCTCGGGATTGAACTCAAAGTCATATACATAAGCACACACACTACCACTGAGCTACACTCCCAGCCCTACCAACAAGCTCTTTTTCAAAGTATCACTCTAAGAACTTAAGTCTATCTATTCTACTAAAAAATGCAACCATAAAACAGGATTTTCCCAATGATCCAAAGGTCGTTTATAGATGACTCTTAACAAGAACTTGTAGCAGTTTGGCAAGATTCAGAAACCAGTGCTCTTTCTCCACAATTTAAAACACAAATACCAAAATACCCTGGCACAAACTGAAACTGAAGAAACTTGGAATTTCTAAATTATTTCTTATAGCAACCCTTTCTACAAAATGCAAATTTATGAAGTTCCTAATATTTCACCATAGGACTTTAGCAGATTAACGTACCTTAGGCTAGATCACATCTTCCCTTATACCCCAGAAGCAAACGTTATAAAATAAGGATTGTCAAACAGGTGGGCATGTGTGTGTGTGTGTGTGTGTGTGTGTGTGTTTACACCTGCCTGACTATAAAATCATTCAGATTTCAGAAACAAAGTCCAGGAAATAGTATTTTCAGCTGACACATTGGAAGGATAAGATGTAATGATGAAGTCAACTAGTCTAAGAGTATTATATCTAGGATTAAATAGTGAAGGATAAAAATGAGCAGGGTGTGTGGCACTCACTACATGCATGACATCTCTGGGACATCCGGCAGAAAGCCACCTGTCCTTTACTTGAGCACTACCAGGGGTGAGGGACGCCACCTCAGTTTATACACATTGCCCAAAGTTAGCAGCATTGCCCCAACATTCTACTCTGGTGAAAAGTTTTTACTTGTACTAAACTGAAAGGGGCTTCCTAACTCGCATCTTTCTAGGCTAGCGGCCTCCACTCAGTCCCACCAAATGATCAACCTGGCTTCAGAGCGGGAGAAGAAGTCCCCAAGGCAGTGGCTGCCTCCCCTCTCCTCACCACAAAGGTATCTTCACAAGCTCCTCCCCACACAGCCTCCATTCTAGATCACAGGGAGGGGATGCCTCCCTCCAGCCTGTGGGAATCCTGAGGTCAGCCTTTCAGGAACCTGCATTCACTCACCTACAAAATTATTCCTTCAATGTTTAAGCCACAGTTCAGCAACAGACAAGACACCAGGAGACAGGTGATAGTAAATGTAAAAAGCTGGCCCTGAGGAATATAAGCTCCGGGAAGCGAGGAATTTCTGGGCTGATTTTCTTATTTTTAAATTTTTTTTTTAATTTTTGAGACAGAGAGCTCCTTGTGCATAATTCAGGCTGGCCTTAAACTCATGGCAATCTTCCTGCCTCAGCCTCCCAAAGGTAGGAACTGCAGTGTCTTGTTCACATGCTATCCATAGGACTGAGATCAGTGCCTGACACACTGGTGTTCAATAAATACACACTGAGTTAATGTGTGAGTGAAGTCACACCTCACAATGTTTTCCTCTCAACAGACTCTTATTTCAGCACAAAAACATGCTCAGGACACTCCCATTCTACAATTAAGATCACATAGCCTCATGTGGTGGCTCATGCCTACAATCCCAGGATGTGGGAGGCTGAGGCAGGACTATCCATATGAGTTGGAGGCCAGTTTGGGACACATAGTGAGTTCAAGGGTCAGCCTGAACTACATAGTGAGACCCTGTCTCAAAAAATCAAAATAAACAAAATAAAATTAAGATCACAAAAATAACTCCTGTGGTCCTATCAGTCTCAACCTGCCCCTGTGTACTGTTAGAGGAAGAATCCTGCTGCAACCATCAAAACCACACTGACAGGGCTCCAAGATTTTTATTTCCAGCCTCCATCTCCCTTGAACCTGAGACCTATGTGCTCAACAATATGCTGATGTTTTCTTTAAGCCCCACCAGCCCTTCAAACTCAACAGGTTTGAAACCAGAGTCACCATCTTTCCATATGCTTCTGCTGTACCCTCCCTCCATCTCCAAGAATGATGCCACTTTCTATCCCGCTGCTCCAGTCTCTCAAAACCTTTTATAGCCCCCCCTAATTAACAAAATAAATCCTGCTCTTATCTCCTGAACCCTTTTCCCCTAGGTCCCTCACTAGAATTGCTAGGGCTGGTGGCTTTCAGGAGGGTCACAACTTTATGATTCCGCTTCTGCTTTAGCTCAGTCACCTCTGCTCAAACATCTTCACTCACCACCACAGCCTTCTAGGCAAATCACACCCTAAGACTTCAGGCACCACACCAGCCCTATTCCTGAGCTCTCTCCAACTTAATCCCTGTACATTCTGGCCCCAACAAACTAGTTGCTCCTTTGCACTCTTGCCTCTGTGTGCTCCTCCATGCTGTTCAGTCTAAAATGTCCTTTCTTCCCACACCAACCTTTCGTTTCTTTCCCTCAGCCCAAGTATCCTCTTTGAGAATGACGCTGTACAATACTATGGTCTACAAATGGTGGATGGAACTAATCAATTAAAAAACTGGTCCCACTTTTGTCTTCTCAGAATTAGTGACCTCTTCTACATGAAAACCCTTTGCATTCCATGTGTTCCCTCTTGGCCTTTCCTCTCCAGGCTAAATACATTAATTTTTCTTTTCAAACACTCCTCAAGATACAGTATGCATGACCATCTCTCTAGTTCTCTCTCTAGTTCACTAACATTGCTTTAAATAGAGAAGTCAGAAAGCTTAAAGATGGTTTCCATTAAGTCACACTTAGTCACTGTGGAAAATAATAATTTAGCCTCATCTGACAAGACCCAACAATGCAGAAGCACAGGTTCTTGCTCTGTATGAACCAGATCATTCCAGTAAGGAAAGCATGTTCAGTTCCTGTACAGAAACAATGATTTTATCTCAAACCCAAAACCCAAACTTCACTGAATCAAAATAAAGTCACTGAAGCATGGAATTTCAGCAGATGTTCAGTTAAAACATATCATGAAAGGGAAGTTTTGGGTTTTTTTCTTTTTTTGGTGAAACAGGGGATTGAAAGGGAAGTTTTGGGTTTTTTTTTCTTTTTTTTGGTGGAACAAGGGATTGAACTCCGGCCCTTGTGCTTGCCAAGGAAGCGCTTATTCTCTCCGACCCCTCCAAGTTGTTCTCAACTTAGCCTCTTGTTCCCTACAGTCTGTACCCTCGGTCTCAGTCCCCATCACTCTCACACCCTCACCGGCCACCACCATTAGTGTTCGCCGCACGACGATGATGCGCTGTATTTCGGAAAAGGCTCACTGTCGATTTTGACCCAACATTCCTCCTCACTACCTGTGTGGTGCTGGGCAACGGATTTAGGCTGGATTGGTATTTAAAAAACAAAGACGAGGACCTCTTGTCAGGTCTGCTGTATAGCAAAATACAGTCACGTGACATAACGAGAGGCCACACAGGAGCTGACTCCCACTCTGCTCAAAGCCAAGGAACCTGGGTTCCACTCAGAAAGCCACCACTGACTTGACATACGAACCTACGGACGTGACTCATTCTAGTTCCTAAGTCCTTAACACTGGGAACTGCGACCAACGATGAGAGGTGCTTGATACCCATTCACCTGGAGAACGAATTACATGAAACGACTCCACTTCGACTTTTGCATCCCGAAACGAATACAGAGATTTCACTTGTTTATTGAGCACCATCGTTAGAAACCAAGGCACATGAATGCAAAGGAAAGCGAGAAAGCAGAGGTAGCTGCCGGCGGCAGCTAATGAGGCGTTTGCGGCCCAGCAGTCATTAAGCAACGCTGCCAGTCCTCCGCAGGCCTCCGAGCCGGAAGCGGAGGCTGGGCTGATAGCACGACCGGGGCGCCCTCCTCATTGGCGGGGGCCGACTCGGGGGCCCCCACAAAGCCGGTCTCCAGGCAAGGAGGCCCGAGAGGCCGCGCCGCCACTAGAGGACCTCTGGCCGGGCCCAGGGAGAAGGCCGAGCAGAGTCGCTCCGACCGCCCGCACTGCGGCACCCGCCTCACGACCGCCCACCCGCAGCCGCCCGGGACCCCCGACTCCCGCTACCTAGCGCCTCCCGAAGCGCGCCCCGCACGCCCTTGCTTCTCACCCGCGAGCGACAAGGACAGCAGTACGACAAACACAGCCATGGTGCCACAGCGGCTGCAGCACAGCAGGGCGACACCAGACCACCGTCGAGACCCAAACGTCCACCACAGTGTGAAGGGGTGACGCGTTCCAGCTGGTTTTGACTCTCAAAGCCCGCCCCTTCGTCGTACCTCTTGCGTCATTCTGCCCCTCAACCAATCGACAGCCACGCCGTAGACTTCAGGGGAGACTTAGGTCTGAGAGGCCCGAACCTTTTGGGCGAGGCAAATGTTGATTGATGGGATGGCTACCAATGGCAGCGATCAAGAGCCAGGCGGTGCCGGTCGGAGGAGATGGATCACGAGATCAAGGGTAGGGCAGCTGAGCAGAAGGGAGACGGAACCGGCTCCTGGCAGCGGGCGAGGCGAGGCGGCCCCCCCTCGTGCGGAGCCTTGGTCCAGTCTCCTGTGACGGCCTCGACGGGCGTGTCTCTGGATCGAGTGCCTGCGGCTGCTGCGAACGCCCACTGCGAAAGCTGCGAGACTGCAGTCTGGTTCGGGTTTCGTTGTACACAGGTGGTGAGCGCCGCGGGGATAAAGCCAGGACCTCGGGGAGCCCCTACCTACCAAATAGGGGTACCATCTAAAATACAGGACTCTCAGTTCGATTTGAATTTTCGGATGAACCATGCATAATTACCAGTATCTGTGGAATATTTTATGGGACATAATATTTGTTTATGTGAAAGTCAAAACAGAACTGGGCGAACTGTAGTTCGATTTGCCAAATCTGCCAACCCCTTGCGATCTATAAGGAATGAAGGGAATTACTTCACCCGTTCCTCAGTTTCCCACCTGGGCAAGGGGTCTTGTGAATATGGAGGAGGTCTAGATCCTGTAGTTAGACGAAGATCCTCCCTTTCCAGAGCTCGAAGTCTTCAGTGTAGAAGCTGGCTACAAAGGGCGACCTACGGTGTAACCTCCGTGGTTAGCAAACGTTCCCCTGGCTGATGACTTTGAAAGACACAAAGAGGTGGGGAGATTGTTCCAGGTATGGAAAACTAAGCATAGTCTGAGCATGGTGCACACACCTGTAATCCCAGCAGTCAGGAGGCTGAGACAGGAGGATTACCACCAGTTTGAGGTCAGTCCTAGTGAGTTCAAAGCCAGCCTGCACTATGGAGCAAGACGTTGCCCAAACAACAATAACAGAACCCAACCAAACAAACTGACAAAAACAAAAAGTCCCTAAATTAGAGCAAAGAGAAAGCCTCCTCAGGTTGAATATTTATTTATTTATTTATTTATTTATTTATTTATTTATTTATGGTACCAGGGATCAAACTCAGGACTTTGCTTGCCAGGCAAGCGCTTATGCTGCTGAGCTATCTCCCTAACCCCTCAGCTTGAGTATTAACTGTTTAGCTTGACGAAATAAGGAGAAGGGAGACACAGAACTAAAAACTTTTAAGTTAGTTTGATTTCCAGTACCAAAAAAATTTTTTTAAAACCCTTTAAATTAGGACATATTAAGGGTCTTCAGTTGTACAGAAAACTTCATCTGGTAGGAAATGTAGAGTCATTGAAGTGACTCAAAATCGTAACTCTCAAATTTGCATTTTTTCAGGAGAGAATTTGCACAAATGCTCTTTTATTGTATTGTATTTATTTACTTATTTATTTTCATGTGTATATTTGGTGCAGGATCTCACTAAGCAGCTTGGACCCCTAGTGATCCTCCTGTTTTCAGCCTCCCAAATGCTGGGATTACAGGCAAGCGCCACCACGCCCAGTCTCAGTCGCCATCTCAGCGCACGGCATGGCATGTCACGCCTGGGATTGAACCCTGGCTTTTGTGCTCTACAAATGTGTTTTTAAAAACATCTGAGGGGGCTTGCGGGTTAACTCAGTTGTTTAAAGCGTCTCCTTGGGCAAACTCAGACAGGCGCAGAGACCACCGCCGTTGGATCTCCAGCTCCACAAGCCGCGCCCTACCCGCCCTTATGGCAGTCTGAGGCAGCAAAAAAAAAAAAAAAAAATCCTCAAGTTTTTGGTGAATCAGACCCGGCGTGGTGGCGTGTGCCTGCTTGGGAGGCTGAAAACAGGAGAATTATTACAGTTCGATCTTTGTAGTGAGACCCTGTACACTGCGTAGACCCTGTTCTAATCACGGGCGCGCCACCACGCCCAGTCTCAGTTGCTGCCTCAGCGCGCCCCGAGGGCAGGGTTGGCCCAGCCTGCCGGGAATTGAACCCCGCCACTGCGCTCTGCCTAAGCAGTCTCTGGTCATCTTGATGCATATTGTGTAGGACAGTTTTGAACCAGAGGCCATGGAAGAGCTTAGCTACATTAACCTTATTTAGGCACATAATCAGAGAAAAGTGGAGTGGAACTTTTGCAATTTTATTCGATCTAAACAAACAGAAGCAAGTTATTTTTCTGATCTTAAGAGTTCTAGAATGTTGTTTTAATTTGAAAAAGAGCAATAATATTACAAATAGACTGGATTATGAAACAAGTCTCTTCTGTAAGAAAACCTCATAATTTCATGATTTCTGCTTTGTGTGTGTGTGTGTGTGTGTGTGTGTGTGTGTGTGTGTGAGACAGACTCTTACTATGTAGTTCAGGCTATTCTTGAACTCATTCTGTAGCCCAGGCTGGCCTTGAATTTCCAGAGATCCTCCTGCCTCAGCCTTCTAACTGCTGGGAATACAGGCATGTGCTATCACATCGGGCTGATCTCTGTTTTAGTTTTGAAAAATACCATTGTTTTGGGGGCTAAGGGCAGATAGCTTAGCCTCAGGCTCCTTTTCAGCTGGTCTCTAAGGGGCAACTGCTCCTTCTAGTCTTAGATAGAACTCAGCAAGATAAACAAACACTTTAGGAAGCTGCTGTGCTGCTGCAAAGACTGAGATAGAAGCCCAGAGAAAGGCACTGTCCTGAAGGTCACGCTGGGAGTCGTGGACAGTTCTGGCTTCTAAGTCCAGACTTCAAATTCAGCCTTTAGTACTCAGTAAGCGGCTGGTGATTGATGTGTTCCTTTTCCACTGAAGAACTTCGAGGTGAATATTTGTGTGGCAGGAAAATATTTGTGGTAATAGGCTGGGTGTGGTGCACACATCTGTCATCCCAGCACTGGGACAGCAGAGGCAGGAGGATCTCTGCAAGTTTGAGGCGAGCCTAGGCTCCACAGTGAGTTCAAGAGCAGCCTGAACTGCATAGTGAGACCCTGCCTCAACAAACAGAACACTGTGACCACTACCTGAAACCGCCAAGGTCACCAAAACTCAGGAAAGTCACAGCCAAGAGGAACCTAAGGAGACAGCGTGACTAGATGTAATGAGGTGTCCTGTATAGGACCCTGCAACAGAAAAGGGAATCTGAATAAAGTAAGGACTTCGGTTAATGGTAATGTATCACTATTAGTCATTAGTTGCGACAAATGGGTCATGCTGTTGCCAATAATAGGAAAACAGCGTGAGGGATGTGGGAACTGTCTGCTACACAGCCTGAACTGTATAGTGAGACCCTGTCTCAAAAACAGAAAAGGGGCCGGGGAGATGGCTCAGTAGAATAAGTGCTTGCCTGGCAAGTACAAGGTCTTGAGCTCAATCCCTGGTACTGAAAAAAAAAAAAAAAAAAAAAGAAAGAAAAAAGCAGGGCATGGTAGCACATGCCTCTAATCCCAGCATTCAGCAGGCTAAAGCAGGAGGATTGTTGGGAATTTGAGACCAGCCTGGGCTACACAGTGAGTTCAAGGCCAACTTGAACTACAGAGATCCTGTCTCAAAACTAAAAGAAAGAAAGAAAATATATGTAATCGCCCCCGAAGATGGCTTATGACAGTGCCTTGCCAGACTGACGGGAGTGTCTAGCCTGCCCAGGGCTCTGTTTCAGCTTGGAGATAGTACAACGCACCCTCGTGTGCTAAGGCTTCGCTCTGATCCCCTTCTCATGCCTTCCCTTCCTCTGCCACAGCCACTGAAGATTAAACCCAGGAAAGACAACATCAACCCCAGCTCTTTTTATTTTATTTTATTTTTTTTGCAGTACTGGGGATTGAACTCAGGACCTTGCACTTGCCAAGCAAGCACTTATTCTACTGAGCTATCTCCCCATCACCAAGCTGCCCAGGCTGGCCTCCAACTTGTGATCCTCCTTCTGGCTTGTCATTTCTTAATTTATGTGGTGGTTGCCGTGGTAGTGTTCATTTTATGATTAGCTATAGTCTTAACATTGATGTTGTTCCTCTCTCTCGCTCTCTCTTTGCATTTTTGAGACAGCGTCTCACTATGTAGCCCAGGCTGGCTTCCGATTCATGGTGATCCTTCTGCTTCAGTCTCCCAAGTGCTGGGATTACAGATGTGTACCACCATAGCCAGCTTATGTGTTCATTTCTGTGTTATATTTTTCTGTTTCTCTTTTTTTTTTTCTTTTTTCTTTCTTTTTTTTTTGCGGAACCGGGGATTGAACTCAGGCCCTTGTGCTTGCCAGGGAAGCGCTTATTCCACTGAACCATCTCCCCGGCCCCCTGGTCTGTGTTATATTTCATGACAGTTAAGAATTCCTTTTGATCCTTGGACTTATCTTAGGAATTACTTGTATGTGGCTCAAATGTATGTTTGGAGAGTCTCATGTTGACAAAACATGTCTTCGGTGAGTGTGGCAGTCCCCAAAGCAAGGCCCATGTTGTGAATGCCATGCTAAGGACTGTCTTCTAAAATACTACAGGGTGGGCTGGAGAGATAGCTTGACGGTCTAAGTGCTTGCCTGGCAAGCACAGGGACCAGAGTTTGATCCCCGGTACCGTGTAGCAAGGCCATGTACCAAATAAAATAAATAAAAGATTTAAAAAAAATAAAAATACTATAGAGATGGTCTCTTCTATGGGTTCATTGCTGAGCAGAATCAGCCCTCAGGTTCTAGCCAGGAAGCCCAGGTCTTTCAGTGTCCCATAGTGAATCACTCGTGCATGGGACATGGGGCTGCTGCTTTTTTGGCAGCAGCTTGGTGAGTACTGGATCAGAGCGAAGCCTTAGTGCATGAGGGTGCGTTGTACCATGGACACAGCTGAAACACGCCTGCGCAGGGTGGATACTTGTCAGCCTGGCAAGGCACTGTCATAAGCCATCTTTGGGGGCGATTGCATGGCC